ATGTCGAAGTATGTCCTGTTCTCTTTTTTATTGCTAAATAGGTAAGACTGATGATATATAGACTGATGATGATTCTATGTAAGTTATCTTTTCAACTTCGTGTTTAATGTCTGTGAAGATTATTACTTTTTGTTATGCTCAAGTTAAGCAAAATTATCCCATTTTATTAAATAAAGATTTCATAGTTAATTTTTTGACTTATGATTCTTTAATGAAAACTGCTTAAGGAAACTTACTCATTATGCCTTCAGTGCTAATGCATAACCAACACTGTGTGCATTCAATCCATTATGAACCTGTACACACACACACTCAGTGCTTTGGTTTGAGTTGTGGGATTTTAATCCAAGCCCACAGAAGTGGACTGCGAAAAATGCAGATGCTGATGTAATACAGAATTCATAATAACATTTATATCATGTCTTCTAAAATATTTTAAAATATGAATTTATTTTGGGATAATGATGATTAATTCCAAACTTTTGAACACTTACTGCTGCTTCCTTCAGTGTCACCAGCATAACTGTCTCCCTGTGATCCACAGTCAGTTTCATTTTTGTCAGAAAAGAGAATTGCATCTATTGTATTCTTTTCTACTTTTTTGTCATTGGAGTTTTCAGAAATTATCTAGAATTTGCCACATTTTAAAATCAATAATAAAGATAATAATTTATAATTGTTTTCAAGATTTTTGTATGTTTCTTTAGATGTGTTTAAATATAAAATTACTCTAGGACAATTCATATAGTTAAACACTGTAACTACTAACACTTTCTAATTAATATATAATAATTAATAGTATATATTATAATTTAAATATAACACAATATTGAAATGATTAATGTAGTATCTGTCAGTAACAAATATGAAAAAAAACCTGATCTTCTAACCATAGTAATAATACCTTAAAAATTTAATGAATCCAAGAATAAAGATATATAATAAGAACAATGAAGTTACAAAGATAATATATATCAAAGTAAGCATGAAGATAATATATGTCAAACTAGCCATTATTTTTATACATTTAACAAAAATTTAAAATATAAATATTTACACAAAAGAAAAATTGTGCAATAGTAATTACTACTGAAAATATTATTCTTGTTAATTTGTATCAACAAAAATAACAGCCAATATACATGAAGTAACTTTTAATTTTTTAATAATAATATACATAAATATTTCAATTCATGATGCATTGATCAGATTGAAATCCAGTTCACATACCAAAGAAAAGAAATTCCATATATGAAAACTTCAATAAAAGAAAAATAAATAAATACAATTCACTAATATCAAACTTTTTACAAAATTGTGTGCTCTTATTCATTTATTTTATATAATCATCTAATCATTTAAAAATTAGTATTTATACTCACACAAATTCTTCAATGAAAGCAGATTTGTATTAACTAATTATTTATATACTTTTTCTAAAAAAATTAAAATGCCTAACATCTCTTAGAAGATAACTACTCAAGCATTTTATTATATATTTCACATTAGCTACAGAATACACTTAAGAATGAGAAATTTTATAATACAGCACTAAAATACAAATCAAAGCAATAAAATTTTAAATATTTCTAGATTTGTACCCTGTAAGATTTACAACTTAAACTACAACTCTGCAATAAATTTATTTTTGAGAACCTAGATAATATTCTACATTTTTGAAATTCACACTGCCTCCGATGTCAAACATCCTGAAATCAAGTTTAATAAAAACGCACCTCAGATGACTAATGCATTTTGGAAGAACACACACACAAATGTAAAATAATAATACTAAACTCAATATGTAACAAATAGCCACCTTTTTTGGAGGGAGAGTAATTATTCAGAAGACTATATAATATATGTAGTAATAATGTAGTAATAGTAATAATAAAGCAGATTTCTATTTTCATATGGCAAATCTTTTTAATTGTGTCTAAACAAGACTGTTTAAAATAGACTTTTCCAAATCAGGATTCAGAGTGTTACTCAAAAAATAAATACACACTACATTAGATATTTAGGGGAAATACACAGTTCAAAAATTAAATTTACATATGCTATAAAGAAAAAAAATCCTGACAAGTTCCTCAGCAAAAACAAAATTTACTCATTTCTTAAAATAAACAGAAAACTTCAAATAATAACAGTCTTTGAAAATAAATTTCAAATAATAACCATCTTTAAAAATCATAAAATTATCTGCAGATGAAATTAAGTTGAAATTTTACAGATGGATAAATATTAACTTACAAATCACAATAATAGTAATAATTTTAAGAACAATTTTTTACCTTTTGCATGTACCTAACAGGAGTAACAATAGGAATAGATGGTAAAGAGCACTTCAAAAGCAAGTCAAAAAGAAGTTTTTGATATTCCATGTTTTTGAGAACATAATTTTTTAGATTGCATTTCACCGATTCAAGTACAGCAACTTTTGTATAAATCTAGGGAAAAAAGGTGAAGAGTTTATTTTTATAACATTCTTTAAGTTTAGCATTTAAGTACAGTCGAATCTGGTTAATTGGACCACCGGTTAATCAGACCAGCCGCTTTTACGGACCAAATCCTAAAGAACCGAAACAAATCCTATCTACATAAGCCTAATATTATTCTCTTATTTGGACCAAAATTCTGTTTAATCAGACCGAAAAAATGAGAGCAAATAAGAAGCAGAAGCCAAAAGTCGGCCGCGTGCAGCAGATGTACTGGTGGTCTGCGACATATGGGAGGGTCTGTAGTTGTGGCTTCCCAGGAAAATGCTTTATCAAAGGTCAGAAATTCCTCAAAGTGCATGACAAAAGCAAAACCGGTGGGAGGTGAATACGTGCACCATTTTTTTTTACCTTTCTTTGACCTGCGCCTCTGAGTTTCAAGGAAATTAACAATAGAGTTTCCGGGTCCACCTGAAAGGAATTCCTGCATGTCAATCATGATTAAAGTTTACATGAGAAAGCTATCATTTCATCACCTTTTTGGGACGATTTTAGTGTCAAAGCTTTGAATGGCGAGCATTTTATCTTCCTCTTGACCTCAACATCTTGAACCCAAAAACACCATGGTTTCTTCAAACCACTTTAGAACTGTGCACATGAAGATTACGATGCTGCAATTGTTGCTTGAGTTGCAGCAAAGCAAACAACATCATCAGAAAACCAAGAAAGTGATGATGATGATGCCGCTAATAAGTTGGTGCAAGTAACAACACAGGATGCGAGGAAATGCATTGAAACTTTACATCGGTATTTCATGCAGGAGGGAAATGAAGGCAGTCCCATTGCTGCGTTAGATGTTTGTGGCGATTTCGTTCACATGCAATCCGTCAAGAGAACACGTCAGATCACATTGGATAAGTTCTGCAAATGTTGACTGGAATTTGGTAAGAAATTGTTTTTTATTGTGCTTCACATGTTGAGTATCGTAGAGATTGTTTCTTAGAATTTGTTTCTAAATTAATTTTTTCAATGAAAAAAACGTTCCGACTGTATTTCTTGTTTGTACATGTATGTTCGCCATACGTGTGTACCACACCATTAAGTTCATAATTACATTTTAGTACATGATTTACATGTACATTTACTGTTTGCTACATAGAGCAAGTCTCATCTTACAACATAGGACATGTTTGTGTAATCGGACCAGCCAGTTATTAGGACCAAAACGATCGCTTCCCGATGTGATCTGATTAACTGGAATCGACTGTATATCATGAAATTAGCATTTAAATACATCTAGAAATTCATAAAGACATTTTCCTTGTAAAAGGTAATATATTAATAACTTTTATGAAAAATAGTTTTTCATATATACAATTTAAGCTTACCTCTTTCCGTCTAGTCATGAAAATTGACAGCAGACTTTGAACAAGATATAGAACATTTTCTGCTATTTCAGAAGTTTCACAAATTGCCTGAAGTTCCAACATTGCACTCAGATTTTCAAGTAAAAGCATTAGAAGTTCATAACCAGGTTTCAATACATTTTTGCATAATGTATATAAACAATCAGTTTTCACATTAGAAATCACTTCATTAAATAAAACCCACAAATCACAAATAAGACTCACATTTTCTGGCATACTTTCAACAGCACCAAAAATGTCTTCGTCACTAAGACTGCAGTTTCTATCAGTAATTTCATTCCCCTTCCTGCTTTCTTTAGCTTCTCTTAGTTTTAATAGCTTGTAAGTTTCGACTAAATTTCGTCCATTAAAAAAATAATTCAACTTTTGGAAAAAACATTGGGTTTGTTCTGATACAAAATAGAATAATGTTGTAGATGCTGGCATGTGCCTTACTGAAGAATCTAAACCAGCAGCATGCACAGTCAACATGTTTTCAGAAATTATTAAAGTTTTCAGAACATTTAATACCAAAAACCGGAACTCAGATATTGGAAGAAATTTGTACAGAATTGGAATTCCTCCAAAATTAACAAATATTGTTGATAATGAATCACACTGTAGAGCATAAGGAAGTATGGAGAAAAAAAATTTGCTTTTAATTTTTAAATTTGAAGGCAAAGATTTTTCAACTGCAGAATTTAAGAGTAAAAACTGAGGGAAAATAACTCTGATAAAAATTTGAGTTCTTAATTTACCAACAGCTTCAGAAAATATTTGTACTAAATGTTTAGCAATATTTTCAACAGTTCCAGAATCTGGTAAATTCAGCAAATCATTATATATATTAAAAATATTCCAAAATGCATTGCCAGTTTCAAAATTCAAATTATGTGCTCTGGTATTTCCTTTTAACAGAGAATCAATTGTAGAGTCATCAATCAAAGTTTCATTGCCACTTATACGCTTTGAGCAATGCATACACTGCAGCTGGCATTTTAATGTGAGGCCTAATTGAGTCAATAAATGCTTCTGTATTAAAATCAAAATAAGTTGCTGAGTCTCTAAATCATGATGAGAAAATCTACTAAATAGACTTTTTAAAATAAAACCAGGATTTATACAGCAACATATACCACATAATTTTAAATGCTTTAAAATTTCATTTGATGTTTGTGTTGACAGAGGAAGGCTGAATATTTTCAACATAAAACAACTCACAAAAGCAACACAACAAACAGGGTCTTTGCTTATGATGGTATGACTAGCACAAGGTCCAAGAATATCATTGTGATGATGAATATAATCTTTGATCACCATTTCAGCATCTTCAGAAGATGCAGAAATCCTTAAGAACTTTAACAGAATTATAATATCTTTTATTAAAGCAAGAACAGTATGTATTTCACTTTCATTATAAGATGAATCTTCTTTGTCTAAAAGTGCAATAATGTTACAGCACAAATCAACACCAATATTGGAAAATGTACTAAAAATGCAAATGATCTTTGCATAATCATCAGAACAAGATTGAATGATGAACTGGATTAACATCAAAGATCCTTTAATGGCGTTACATACAAACTTTAAGTCATGACTACTTAATGAATGAGAAGACAGCATTTCATCTGAAATTATGAGAAGAGTTGAGATGATTTCATTTTCATTTGGTGCACCAGTGTAATCTAAAATAAAAAGTTAAAAACAGAATATAATTAAAAATGGATTTTTCAGCATATCTATGCATTAATTCAAAATATAGTCATGAAAACTTTCGGATTTCTGACCTACAGAACAGATTATTCAAACTCATGTTAATGGTAAAGACTACACAAAAGTCTTAAGATCACGGATGTGATGAATGATATTCTTCAAAATCTATCCATTACTCTTCCCATAGTACTCAGTAATTTAGATCTGCATAACTTTTAATCCTTAATAACTTTTAATGCTGCATTCCCTTATGCTACCCTGTGCCCAGAGCCTGAATTGAATGTGGGTGCCCAGGGCAACTGCCCCGTATGCCCCTGCCTTAGTCAGGCTCTGCCTGGGCAACTATAGAGTTAGTTTATTTCTTTCACTCAGTCTACTTTAGACTTTGGATTTGGACCCAAAAAAATGTCTGTTTGAGTACATTATTTATAACTATAAATTCATAATAATAATTTAGCATTCAAATGCAAAAGGATCATACTCTCAATCAAAGAAAAATTATGAATCACCAACTTTTATGTACAATAAAAAGTCCGACATCCAGAATCCTCAGGGCTTCCTGGATTCAGAATTTTATATCATCAGTTTAAATCTAGTAAGATGACGTATATGAATAAAATTTAAAATATGAAATAGTTTTTTATGAAATAATGAAGCATTTATGACTTTTGATTTTGAAAAAAAAATTCATAAAATAGCTGAAATAATAGCCTGGGAAAAAATAATAAGTTGGATAAATTAGTTAAAGAAGAGCTATTTTTGCTATTTTGACTGAACTTAATTTCTTTCAAATCTAACTCTCTCTCTTCCCACAGTTATACCCTTTCATCCCCCCCCAAAAAAAACTATATTAGCAACATCACACCTCCAAAGAAAATGCCTTAGGGCTTCATTTATTGTTTAGGTCAGATAAAAATATATTAATCTCTCACCTCCATAACAACATAAGTGCAAAAAGTGTGGTTGCTGTTGAACTCAATCAATGTATTGTCAATGTGTCAGCAGGCGTTTGAAAGTGATATAGTAGGAATCACAATTAGAGAGGGGAAAAAAAATCGCTTCCACATTTGCTTTTTCTGGAATATTACGTACATGTGCATAACATTAATTTAACTTTTAGTGTTATTTTTAGTTTATTTTCATGAAACTTTTCTTATGATACATAAATCAATGTGAAATATATTAATTTATTAATTTCAAGTTTAAACTATGAAAATAGATGCAGTATGAAATGTACGTCCCCACATATGAAATTATTACACAGCATATGCAAGCAAACTCCAATGACATTTTATGAAAATGCACTCATCAGCTATCTGCATCACTAGTCTATGGTCTCAATCACTTGTCTATAATAATGAAAAGATAGATCTACACCACACATTCTGTACAAGCATGAAACATAATACCTATCACTCCAAAGTAGAACATAATATAATTTCAAAAGGATTACCACTATGCAAAATCAGATGTAATCTGTTTTGCTGGCCTTGCACTATTTTTTTTTTTTTTTTGACATAAAATGTTTGTAATTGATTATATATTTTTATGACAGACATTACATTAAAAAAGAATATTTATTTATTACAGTAAGAGCCTTTTAACTTCCTCCCTTTATTTAATTTTCATAAATTCATCAGAGCATTTTTAACAATATTGCATCCGAGTCTTCAAATTGTATCATTATCAAATTATACATTAATTATATTATATATTATTTAATAAATAATATATCTATATATATAATATTTGATATATACTATCAAATATATGACAATGATACAATATATGGTACTGTATCATTATCAAATTATATATTTATGTATTAACTATACATAAATTTATCATTATCAAAAATATATAAATTGTATTATTATTCACATTCAAAATACAATAAAATCGGTCATGATGATTCCTCTTTAAGATGAAGCACCAGTATTTCTGTAAACATAAATACAAATACCGAATCTCACCTCTTCCAAGACAACCACCATTGCTGTCCATGCGCATTCACCTTAAATAGGCTTATAAGTTTTTTTCATGCCTAGTTTCCTTTGGTAAAAACCATGGTATACCACTGACAGCAGCCATACACAAAGTGTTAAAAATGATTTACGCATTGCCTTCTCTATAATCTCCTATGAATCCTCGTGACTTTCTAATGAATTTATGGTTCATCCAATAAACTGTTACATAATATAAATGAAGTGAAACAGGTATTTGCCAGTTTTAGCAGTGATTAGTAATTAATCCCCCAAGTTTGGCAGCATTCATAGCCAAGATATAAAGCAAATCCAAAACCATAAGTAATAAGAACTGAAAACTTGTTCTTTCTTTCAAAGGAAACCTTTTAAAAATTTAAAACAATGACAATTTTCAATTTACTATCAAGCAAAATAAAGCTATTGCATTCTTCTATGAAAGAAGTATTTTATCTTTCACATAAAACCGGGAAAACAGGCATGAATTGGAGTTATATGCTACCCTAAAAGCTATAAAGAGATGCAATAAGGAAAACTGTCAGAAAAACAAAAACATATGCATCAGCCCCCCCAAAAAAACTATATTAGCAACATCACACCTCCAAAGAAAATGCCTTAGGGCTTCATTTATTGTTTAGGTCAGATAAAAATATATTAACCTCTCACCTCCATAACAACATAAGTGCAAAAAGTGTGGTTGCTGTTGAACTCAATCAATGTATTGTCAATGTGTCAGCAGGCGTTTGAAAGTGATATAGTAGGAATCACAGTTAGAGAGGGAAAAAAAATCGCTTCCACACTTGCTTTTTCTGGAATATTACGTACATGTGCATAACATTAATTTAACTTTTAGTGTTATATTTTAGTTTATTTTCATGAAACTTTTCTTATGATACATAAATCAATGTGAAATATATTAATTTATTAATTTCAAGTTTAAACTATGAAAATAGATGCAGTATGAAATGTACGTCCCCACATATGAAATTATTACACAGCATATGCAAGCAAACTCCAATGACATTTTATGAAAATGCACTCATCAGCTATCTGCATCACTAGTCTATGGTCTCAATCACTTGTCTATAATAATGAAAAGATAGATCTACACCACACATTCTGTACAAGCATGAAACATAATACCTATCACTCCAAAGTAGAACATAATATAATTTCAAAAGGATTACCACTATGCAAAATCAGATGTAATCTGTTTTGCTGGCCTTGCACTATTTTTTTTTTTTTTTTGACATAAAATGTTTGTAATTGATTATATATTTTTATGACAGACATTACATTAAAAAAGAATATTTATTTATTATTTGATTTGCTGCTTCAAAAGGTACAGTGCCCAAACCTGGCAATATTTTTGTTTTAGTGCTTTGGCCACTGGTAAAACTGACAAATACACTGAATATATATATATATATATAACAATAAGGAAAAAAGTTTACTTACTCATACACGAATGTGTTATAGAAGCTGTAAGAAATATCAAACTTAATAACTGTTCCTTTAGAACATCCACATCTTCTTTTGTCCAGTCATGTAATGAATAATACCTTGAATGAATTTGTTTCAAAGTGTTTAATGCAAATTCCAATATGGAAGGTGAAGAAAAAGATGTGCACTCAAACCCCCTACGATCCAACAAAGCACTTTCTTGAAACATATTTAATATGAAATAAATATAATCTATGACTGAAAGGCTATAAGACTGGAAATCCTGTACAAGATGAGTTAATGATAAATCTGTCACAAGTTCATCTTCATCACTTTCACCAACTTCAGACATACTTTTCTGCATACATGTAGAATTAGCCGAATTTACTTTATGCAGTGCTTTAACCTGTGATGCTGGCACAATGCAAGGTTCTAGTACTATATGATCTTCTCCAGAACTGGAGTTTAAATCATTTTCTATTTCAGGCTTTATTTTTTTGCGGCGAACTCTTTTTTTGCCCTGAAAAGCCCGTTTTTTCCTTGGTACATAAACTTCTGGTCGACTTAAATCAATGTTATATAAAATATTTTTGTTTCTTTTTGAGACAGAAAAACAAACACTAAAAGGAAGATGCTTGGGATTCCTTTGCAAAGAAGCTGCCGAAGGAAAAGAAAACACCAATTAATAACAACATGACTTTTTATGAAAATATTTTTAAAAATGCAAAATTTAAGTATAGTTAAAAAAAATTTCAGATAAAAAAGTAAATAAATAAAATGATAATGAAAATTACTTTTGAAATGTTTCATACCTGGTATTGTTGAAGGGTTAACTGGAAGTGTCATTAAAACAGGTACATGTAATATTAGAAGCTTGATTAAATCTTTCAAACACAACAAATTCTGAAAATAAAAACAAACTGCTTTTATCCTGCATTCTGTAAATTTATATGTCATCTAAATATTTTGATACAAAAATGAATTAGAACAATACACTTTTTATAGGATTTTGTACTTTCTGCATCCCCACCAAAACATGAATTCAGTGCCGACTAAAATTTGTGAACTTGTTGGCAACTAATTTTTTACAAGCTAATGTGCAAAAGGTAACAACCATTTTGAAAATGGCAGTGCACTAAAAATTCCATACAACATGAATCAGTCAATAAAATTAAAAAAAAACATTGGTAATAAAACTAATCTTTTTTATGAAATCCTGCAGCAGATCTGCAAATACTTAAACAGATGGGCACAATCCCATATATGTGGGTTCCCACATAAATGTTTTTTGGCGACATCTTAGATTACCACATAACTATTTTGGTAACATATTGCATTGTTATGTGAATCCTAAATTGTTACATGTCACTGCATTGTTATGCGAGTAGCAAATCCTTTTCGCAACTTTTGGCGGGGTTGTGAATAATCAGAAAATACCAATAAAACTAGAGAAGCTTAATTCTGTTTTTAGTAAAAGAATACACTTGAAAGTTGATAAAAGAAAATGAAGGTAATAGAATTTCCAATTTGATTCCAGATTTACAGATGTTGTCTAGGACCAACCTTTCAATACACTGCAACTATCACATGCAAGCAAACTTTTTTTAACACTTACATTAACAAGTGCACACAAATAACATGCACACAACACATTTAAAACTTGCACACAACTAACAAGCAATTTTAACACTTTCTGCCGCTAACACATGCTACAACATTGACTGAGCTGCTACATCACCAGGAATTCTGCTTACTTAGTTAAGTTAGAATTTTCAGTCACTAGCTCAAATTGAACAAAGCAGAATTGTTTAATGATCACACATACAAAACACATTTCTCTGTCAACCTCAGCTGCATTTCTGATTGACTGCGCTAATTACAACACTACACTAGCAGGAGCATTTCAGACTGTTAAACTTATCTGACCTTGGTAACCCTTGATAACTTTTTGCCATCCTGACAATGTTTTAAAATTTCCTGTTTTTGAATGCATAGGATAGATTTTTTTCAGAATATCCATTCCTTTTCACACACATCCTCCATGTGAAAGGATATAATTATGGTTTTTGCAAGAGTATAATGATAAAATTACTCCTTAGCAAAAACAATGATTTTGTAATTGTGAGGAATATAGTCATGAATCTTCAATTACAATGTGTCCTGCATTCTTAAAGCTTAATCTGCAATAAGGTGAATTATAGGTTTATATTTCAATTCCACAAGCTATTTTTAGCTCATTTTATTTTGCAAAGACTGGGTACTCCTTATTTTTATAGCTCCTATTAAAATGGTGCCATATTATCAAAAACTTCATGCTTACTTCTGACATATAGTTCTTGGTTGCCATACTTCTGCATTTTTAATATACCTTCAAAATCATTTTCTCATCCCAAAGATTTTCACTATATGAATTCCACAAGATTGAACTCAAGATATGATGATTTAGGCTTCATTGCCTTTTATTTCATAATTTAGTAGAGCTCTACAGTCTTTCACCATTTTACATATAAGCAGCAGTTTCAGCATCCACAAAATGGAATTTATGATTCACAAGAAAGTGAACATAATCTACTTTTTCTAGATCTTCTGTTTTGTTTGCTCACCAACAGTTTGAATAAATCATCAAACCCTGTTATATATGATCAATAATTTTTGTCAACAGTATAGTTCAGCTCCTGAATAAGAAAGCACTCATTAGTTTCTTGGCATAACCTGCCAAATATTCTTTTCTGGCTAGAAGAAATGAATTTCATCTATTTCCATGTGCATAGCAAGTGGGGTGCAGAAAAGTGCACTTGCACCTCCCTAAAGAAATGAAAGTCTTATTTTTTTCTGTTTTTAAATATTAACCAATAGAATGACAGCAAAAAAATTTGCTCTAGTTATTATTATTTTGTAAGAAATCATAATAAATTACTGTAAAGTTAATTCTCATACTATGCAAAATTTGCTGGAAAGAAAGTTTCAATCTTTTACAGATTTCAAAGATTTTCACAGTTTGTCATGTGAATAACCAATGACTGGCCCATCATCTGTGAAGGAGATAATGGGCAATTAGTTGTAATTTCAAGAGTTTCTTGAAGGCAGCATTGTCTTTCTGCCCTAGCAATTGAAAAATGAGCATCTTTTTTTTCAATACCCTTGGGGTCTAAAGCACTGCCCCTCCTGGATTCGTTGTAAAAAACTAGTGACAATGTCATTTGATAGTTTTAGATCTCTTTTTTCGGTAATGAGAAGGGGGAAATTGTTTACAGTCTTACCTGAATGTAGATATTGGCTAAACACTTAGTGGTAGTTAGAGAACCAAATGCTGTAAAAAAATAAAAAATAATTGAATCTATTTGGAGAGTACTTGCACATGGAACTCAAAGATTTTCCTCAATCAATAACAGAAAAAAAAAAATCTTAAAATCTGCCTTGCAAATCACTGACTTGTCCATCAATCAGCAGTCTCCCCATTCGTATTTGCCTTGAATACAGTTTTTTCATGCATTTCACCAGCTTCTATGTTTTAGAACTTTATATTAAATTAATGCTCATTATTTCTGTTTTTCTATCTTCAGTCAGTCAAACTAAAACAACCTTGATAACGACTCACAGCAGTTTAGTATAATTGATTTTTGGCCCTGTAAATGATATGATGGATATGAGATAATTTATGGAAATATGTTTATATACCTTATTATTATTATCTGTGATTACATCTGGCATAGTACAAAAGACAACTGATTGTTGAACCAGATTCACTCAGAATAATAATTTTTTAACAGGATGCGATAAAATGCCCAATGCCTTAGTCAGAATATTCTTTTAGAGGCCCTAAATGCTTCCTTTTCTCATTCTTTGTGAAAATATGCAGTCATGAAGAGATACGGCTTGAGTTAGGAGCCCCTGAAAGCATATGCGCACAGACATGTATGCCTAGGGTCCTATTTTTCAATTTGTTAAATCAAAACTGAGCACAGGTGGGAAAACATATGCAGAACTTCACAATTTTGGCATCGCTTTAAATAATTTATGCAATCAAAACCTTCTAAAAAGGCTAATACATGTGGGAAAAATTACAGATTGCAAAAACACTTCTCAAACTTAATCTACACTTTTTTTTGAAGATAACAATAAGCAATAAAGCTAAACGTACAAATAATTAAATAAATAAAAATTAATTTAGTTAGATTTCAGTGTGTGTATGTTTATCACAGCAACTATACAATTCATCTTATTTTTGGAATAGAGAGATGGTTTGAAGAAACTTTCTTGCATCTTTACCATCAAAGAAATTACAAATTAGAAAATGGTTTTTCAAACAGTAGGATTCATTAGATATCAATTTAAGTATTATATGTGGCTGTAATTGCCATAAAAATAACAAAAACGTGAAATGAAAATAACAACTGATTGTTGTCATTTTCTGGCTGAACTATTACAGAAATAAAAGTCATGTAAGGACTTTTACGGACATCCTGCATGTCTTTGTATAAAATAAAAACTTTAATGTCAGACAACTTAATTTTTAATTTGGAAAATTTTTCTTTTCAAGTTGCAGAATATATAAAGCAGGATTTTATTTCGAAGTTTAATGGATCAACAGCCTCTATTTCAAGGCACACTTCTGTAAAACACTAACATAATAAATATATTTTATAATTATTATAACACAGCCAATCAATCAATAATATAATTTGATAACATGTGCAAATGAGAGAAAACTGCATTCAGTTGCAAAGGTGCAAGCTGAACTCTCAGTTAAGCTATACTTTCATCAAGAAACATAGTCTTTAAACATACATATATTTGAATATTTAACATAATGAGCTTATGGTACACCCATTATATTAAACACCATAATATTAATGACTTAAAAAAAATAGTTACACTATACTCTGTAAATCAATTTAATGAATTTGAAAATTTATGCATTTATGGCTTTCAAAATGGATGCCATTTTGGGTGGTGTGTGTTGTTGCTGTAGATAAAACAATGGTAGCTTGGCTCGATAATATTCACATTTTTATTTAATACTAGAAAAGCTATATATTTCAACACATGTTCACTTGTACACAGTCACATTGATTGCAGTTCACACGATAAGCATTTTTACAGGTAGCAAGTCCACGCAGGTAAAAATAATGAAAGTCATATTACAGCTATGAAGACATCACCAAGCAGAAGAAAGGTGATCGCGTGCTTCACTGACTGCAGCCAGGAACAGAGTTAATGTCATCGTCACGTACAGTTTCCTTACACGAAGTCTCACATGACTACTGAAGTCACTTCACTGATTACCAACTGGATTGATTTGAAAGATCGTGCCATCTCTTGAACAGAATTTAAAGTACTGTAAGAATGCCACAGTACTCTCCCCAAGTACCATTGTTACGTTATAAATATTTTGGGTTAAATTTAAACGTCTTCCAGATCTAGTAGTTTTAGGTTGCTCTTTAACAGGATTCAAACCTTCTTCTGTGGGCAACGTTGGTGGAGAAGTTGCTGGATCTTGCATCAGAAATGCAGGTTTGAGACTATCAATTCCAATCACTGATTGTTTGCAGCTGCAGATGATGGTGAAATGATTAGGTGTCCGTTTGACAACTTTGAATGGGCCATCACACAAAGGTGTTAAAGTTGGCTTAATGGCATCATCGCACACAAATACATGAGATGTCTCAAGCGCAGGATGTACAAAATAGCTTGGCTTGTTATGCAAGGATGCTGGGGTTAGTGAGATGATGTTAAAGGATCAATGACTGGAGTAGATGCTGGATGAAAGAATTTACCTGGCAGGCGGAGGGGTGCACCATGTAACATTTCAGCACATGTATGTCTTCTTTGAATGCTGTACGAAGACCGAGCAAGACTATGGGTAAGGCTTCTATCCAGTATGTGCTATTGTGACACTTCAGAGCTTGTTTTAGAGATTGGAGAAATCGTTCCACCATTCCATTTCCAGATGGATGGTATGGTGTTGTTTGGATACGGTGAATGCCAAGAAGAGATGTGAGGGATGAGAATAAGTGAGATTGAAATTGTCAACCTTGATCATGCCAAATCTTGAAATCCACTGGGAGATGAACGCTTGAGCTACAGTTTCGGCAGAGATATTTTCCATAGGAAAGGCTTCAAACCATCTTGTATAGTGGTCAATACAAGTGAGAAGGTAAGTGTAACCATTTGAAGGAGGCAATGGGCCTACCAAGTCCGGGTCACCATTTATGGCTTTCAAAATGGATGCTATTTTGGGTGGCATGTGTTGTTGCTATAGATAAAACGATGGTAATATTAACATTTTTATTTAATGCTAGAAAAGATATGTATTTCAACACATGTTCAGTTATACACAGTCACATAGATTGCAATTTATACGATAAGCATTTTTACAGGTAGCAAGTCCACGTAGGTCAAAATAGTGAAAGTCATATTACAGCTATGAAGATATCACTAAGTGGAAGAGAGGTGAGCGCATGCTTCAGCGATGGCAGCCAGGAACAGAGTTAATGTTATCGCGTACAGTTTCCTTACACGAAGTCTCACGTGACTACTGACGTCACTTCACTGATTACCAATTGGATTTGACAGGTGGTGCCATTTCTTGAACAGAATTTAAAGTTTATGTAAAAATGCCACATATTATAAAGTTATTACAGCATATAATAAATTTAAAACTAAGCATTAGACTTAGGGATAATGAACAGCTATTTCAAATTAATGGAATATAGGATGAAACTATGTTTCATATTGACAGGGCCATAGCCAGAACTGGTGCAACTGCAGTGGGTGGCACAATTTAGGTGCAGCAAGATATTTACAATTTAGTTTCTGATTAGAAGCTGCATAATTTTGGAGCAATAGTGTTCACACCCGATGGCAGAAAGTTAGCACTGGTTCTGCATACTGAAAATGAATATTTTAAAATAAATGGGAAAAGTAAGATAAAATAACTAGTAAAAATGAGAAACACAGCAACTAAGGAAATAAAAGTAACACAAGTATTAACTTAAAAACTAGTAACTAAGTAACAACAGAGCAAAGAAAATAAAAGGTTGAAGTGAACATAAAATCACATTAAAGTATACAATTAGATTTTTAATAGATTATATTTGAGTTAAATTTATCTTAAAAACAATCAGAAATTATATAGCTACATTATAAAAACAGTAGTGAAGAATAAATTTAAATAATATAAGCATTTGTTTTCTGCACTAAAATTTATTATTTTTAATTAAAATTAAATCAAAAAATTATGCGAGACTTAATTATGCAAAATTTCAACACTATTCTTATCACAGGCACAACTCTTAAGCAGTAACTACAACAGGTTTTGTTTTTTAAATTAATACTAGTTCTAAGATTTTTTGTGAGACTGACAATAATTATACAACAACCAATGTTTTACAGAGCCACAGTTTAAGGTACCACATGAAGTCATGGCAAGCCCATCCTGATGGAGTGGTGATGCATCTTGAGACCTGTCCTTTTAAAGATCGAAAACATTCTTAAGTGTCCATTTAGTACTATATGCAGGTTAGATTAGATTAGGTTATTTGAATACAACAAAGCACATGAGGGCTATCTGCCTAAGGGAAGGGATGATGACTTTGTGGAGGATTTTCTAAGGAAAACTGGCTCATATTCATATTATACATGGGAAAGAGCCAGAAAATTCATCTGGATTAGAACCTGGGTCAAAATACCAATATTCAGCAGTCTTAACCCCTTGGCCATTGGTGGGGCCTCATACAGAGTAAAAATTTTCTAATGCTAAAATATGACACAGGACCACTTGATTGTGCCATGAATGTTTGTAACATTGAAAAGTAATTCAGGGAAGAAGAATCAAAATAGAAAGGAAATTCTAAAGAGATCTCCTACACCTTATCCTTCAAAAAATTTGTTTATATTCATATACTCATTTGCACTGTTTATTTGTTCGTTTATTAGGTCATGAAAAAGCATATGAGGAGGACCATCTGCTATGAGAAGACATGCTTTTGTGGAGAAATTTCTAATAAAAGCTACCGTATATACCCGCGTATAAGTCGAGATATTTTGGGCAAAAAAAAAAAGACTTCAAAGTGGGGGGCGGGGTCGACTTATACGCGGGGCCATAAAAAATTAAAAGAATCGGAAGTTCAAAAATTTCTTTGTATAATGCAGTTGTTTTCTTCCCGCACTCGAATTGGACGACTTATCAAATAAGTCACTTACTTGAAGTAATTTCATGACTTAAATTATGTGACGAACTACAATGGTGGCCAAAATTGTGGACACTTTTGGAAATTTTTATGTTTTTGCCCCTGAAAAATGTGAATGCCTGTGAAATACCCTCTGAATGATTGTAAAATCATTTAAAAAATGTTGTATTAGCAACAAACTAGACGGCAGGGAAGATGATGCTGTTTTTGAAAGTGAAAATGACAACGAAGGCTGTAGTAGTGATTGTAACAATACAGAGTTCGAGACTGAAAATATGTATGATGACGAGCCAATGACGACAGAAGAGTTCTATGAAATGTTTGGCGAATCTGACCATGAATCAGATGTTGAAGGATTTTGATTTTGTTTATTTACCAAGGTATTTTTTATCGTATATTTACTTTTTTTCTCAGATGATTATGAATAAATGTAGTACTTAAAAAATTTTTTCGAAGTTTCTCGATCGATTTCGGAAGTGGGGGATCGACTTATACGCGGGTTTCTTATTTTCTATGAATTTTTTATGTCGAAGTGGGGGGGGGTCGACTTATACGCGAGTATATACGGTAGTTCTTATTTTTGTTATATATATGAGAAAACCAAGGAAATACTCACGAAGCCAGCCAATTCACTGGAATTTGAAATCTTTAGCCAAAACACTGGTGCATAGCAATTTTATCTTCTCAACCATCGCCTGGCATATTCGAATCCATTCCCCCTCCCAGCCCTAAGTTTAAGGACGTTTGCATCCCCTGGTTTGTGTCCTGGTTATGCTAATGTTTATTTCACAATTTTTCTACGACCATTTATTTACTTATTTGGTTGTTAGATTAAAGGCACAGAACATATGTCTCACATGAAACTGTTCAATCCAATCAATAATAATATTTTAAATAGAGTTGTTTCTAAAGCTACTTAATTCCTCCACCCAACAGTAAATAAATTGTAGTACTGTTCCAAAGGGTATTCTGAATTCACTGCACTAATTGTCAGAATGCATATTTTTCTTTTGCTTGCAATGTTTTACATTGCACCTCTATATGCTTTCATTGAAACACAGTTTCATATCCTGACCATTTTTATGCATTCAAATACATAATAAAATGCCTCTTTCTGGGAAGAATGATACATAGCATCATTCTCAGACATAAATAATTTTTCTTTTAACATGCTATAATGCAGCCTACTTACAGCTCTTTCCCTCCTTATCAACAAATCTTCAGTCATAAGCAAATTAAAAATAAACATATTTTTGAAAGAAAGCCCATTAACATGCAGCATACTAATACCTCTTCTCATGACAAATGAACTAATTGTTAGTGTACGCATCATTCAAGCTTTCAAATGTAAGAAACACAAATAATGATGAATATAACGAGATTTACTAAAATTACATCAGATAGAGTGGTAATCATTTTAGTCAATGGTAATAAACATCTTAAAATTAATTCAAAACCAATATGTTCTTATCTCCTAAGTATCCGACCAAAAGTTTACTCATGTGGTAGCTAAAGCAGGGTTCACACACATTTCTGCACATGGAAATTAAGTACTTTTACAGATCATTAACGAAAAAGAATTACGAACCTATCAACAAATGGGAACTGATAAATTCAATTATTAAAGATATTATTTATTTCACAACTTCACACCATTCTAAGAATAAAACTGATTTGTAAGTAGGATGCATAGTTATTGAACGTAATTTAATAAACATTATCGTAAAACAAATTAAAAATAAAAATCAAATTTGCAAAATTTATGGAGTAGCATTAAATATTTTACACTTATTATAGTTGGACATGTTTTAAAGAAGATTAGTGATACTTGATTTACATTTTGCTAGCAATTAGCTTTACACTGATTTTTTATTTTGTCTCATTTTGTCATGTATGTGCCCAGTCTAAAGGTTTAGTAAATAGCAGGCGGATTTTATGTCAAACAGGATAGATTAAAATAAGAAATAAAATCATAATCAGCATGATTTGTAACAGAAGATTAGCTGTTGCCACTGTTGCTGCTTCCCTAGAGAGAGACATTGAGAAAGTTACATGAGGAAAAACTCTTACTATGAAAAAAATAAAAAGGAGGACATTTTAAAATAAATACATAGTTTGCTATTGCTAAGCATGGTTTTGTGAATTGTGTTTTACAGCATTTATTACCTTATTTTTCAGATTCAAAATATTGTAATAGTAAGTCGCCAAGATGAAAAGCAATGTATGTCACTTTATTATACGACAGGAAAAAATAATATTTTATTTTAATGTTAAAGTTATTTCTTCAATATAATTTTAATATATTATGATTGTTTTACTGATATTTATCAGTTACGATATTTTTTAAAAAAATAAGTGGAAAAATTCATAAATTCCGAATTAAAAATTTTGTGTAGAAATTTATCTTAAATTTGCCAAAATGTTGAGAAGTTGCCAAATTTATAGCCGTTCAATAGAAGAAATCACATTCCAGAAAGGAAAAAGTTATTTAAGAGCTCTTTATTTGGAAGGGGGAAGGAAAGAATTTTGAAATGCTTATGTTTCATTTCTTGCCCAGAAACTCAAGTATCACACTGTTAATATTGAAACAGAAAAAAAATTCAGATGATAACCCAT